TTAGTATCATGTACAAGTAAAGATATTACCAGTGCGTCGTTATGTGGGGTCATTACTCCTTCGATGTCTGCATCATCGAAAGAAATACTTTCGTTTTCTAAAACCTGTCGTACCCGTTTCCCATGTGTTATCATTACTTTAGAAACCTTGTTGGAAGCCGTATATGTTACACCGTGAATATCTTCTCCCCCACTTATAACATTCACGGTTCACTTGGGTGAAGGGGGCTTTGGTGGCTCTTGCCTATTTTTCATATAGGCTTGCTTACCTTTCTCACTAAATAACTCAGTGAGATACCCTTGTTTCAATAGATGATCCACTTCACTTTGTAAGAATCTACATTCTGAAGTTTTATGCCCATGATCATTATGGAATTCACACCAATGGTCTGGATTGCGTCTATTTGGATTTGACCGCATCTCTTTTGGCCATCGTACCTTATCTCCCATGCTCCTCAAAACAGCTACGGGCTCGTAGGTAGTGACATTAAAGTTATATCCACCGAACCTTGCCTTTAAACTTTTGTCATCATCTCGTGACTCTTGTCTGTTTCAGTCATTTCTGAACCTTGATGAAGAACCAGGTTCTCTGTTCCTCGATTTTTGATCATATCGTTGACTATCCTGCTTTGACCGTGAGTCTTTCCCTGTAGGTCCCATATATGGGTCATACCTATTCTTACCTGATCTCTTTTCGATCTCTGATCTCCTGGAACTGCTCCTTTCTTCATGATGAAATTGGGGAACGATATCTTCCTCGATTCGCAGCTTCGTACTGGACCTGTTATAAACATCATTCCAAGTAGTTGCAGGAAATTCACGAAGACTTTCCTTAAGCCTTCTCGTGGCTTCTGAACTTTTGTCATTTAAGTTTCTTGCAAAAGCTATTGCAGCCCAATTATCAGGAACGCGAGGCAAAGTCATTCTTTCATGTTGGAATCTATCAACAAAATCCCTGAGCAACTCGGAGTCCCCTTGTTTGATTTTGAAAATATCCTCCATTCTTTTCTCAACCTTTTGAGCTCCCGAGTGTGATTTAATTAAAGAATCTGCAAGCTTAGAAAAAGAATTTATAGAATTTTCAGGTAAAAGAGAATACCAGGTTAATGCGCCCTTGGTGAGTGTTTCTCCAAATTTCTTGACCAGTACTGATTCAATTTCTTGTTTGGTCAAGTCATTGCCTTTCACGCCTGTTGTAAATGCAGTCACGTGGTCATGTGGATCTGTTGTACCATCATATTTTGGGATGTCAGGCATTTTGAACTTTTTAGGAATTGGAAGGGGAGCAGCACTTGGCTTCCAAGGTTGTTGTGAATATTTGTCCATATCCACTCCTCTAATCACAGGTGGAACTCCGGGGATTTGCTCTATGCATTCGTTTTGTTCCTTAAGCCGTTTCTGCAAGGTTAGTACTAAATTTTGCCAATGAGAAGTAGTTGAATTACCTGGTTCCCCCTCCTGTGAATCACTGGGGGTTGCTCCATTACCCGAATTAATCAACCCAGAACGGGGATTTTCCAACGTGTTGTCATTTGGTGTTGACGGTGCAGCAGGTAATCGATGGATTAGAGCTTCTAAAGCTTTGTCAACCCGTGCGTCAATTATTTTTTGTAAAACCTCATCTCTTCCATCAACATGCTCAGATTGATCATTAGGAGTGCCCTTACGAGATCCACGTGGAGAACCTTGAGGGGAAAGATCATCACGTTGATCTCCATCCACTTGATGTGCTTGATTTTCATGAATGTTTTTGTTGTTGTTTGACATGATGATAACAACAGGAAGGATGTAACGTAAAAAGAATAGATTATCAGATTCTCGGTAACGGAACCAATTTGTTTAACCAAAAATCTGAGTCTTTGATCAAAGCTAGAAATAAAGAGAAATTCGGGTTACTGATAATCTGGAGACGAAAATAATAGAAAATTTCTGAGAATAATAAAGTAATAAGTAGTTTTGTATTTCAGTGTAATCTCAATAATATTTCGTGTCCCTACAGATATTCAGTCCTTCTCCTTTATAGTTGATTCTAGGAGAAGGTGTAATGCCTTTGTCTTAATTAGACAATTATGAACAATAAATGACATTAAAAGAAACGTTACTCAATCATTCCTATTAAATACAAATTCTCTAACGTATTTGATATTTAATGTTGACTTTGGACTCTTTTGCGTCATCAGATTCATATCTTCAATCCCTTCCGATCTTCGGTCTTTAAATGACTCGAATAGGTACGAGACTCGTGCCATTTGAGTAATGGTCCACACCTATGTTGCTTTCTTCTCCCCATATCTGTTGTCGCCCATGCCTCTTGGCTATTTATTGCGTTTTGACCTTTTGACCAGTCCACGTGTCATGACACGTCATCTTCAATATACAGACTCAGTATTTTCCCAATACAATTATGCGGCCCGCAGAAGTCATCTTGCTCACAAAAATTACACCTTCCTGAAAGCACGTGGGTTTCTATTGCCACCCATTTAAAAAATATCTAAAGCCCATTGCGTTTAATTTCACAAGAGAGAGAGGTACTCAGACTTCCCCCTCTTTGGTTGATCAACAATAGCACACAAAATTCCTTAATTCACTCCTCACCAAAGAAAATTAAATGCACATACAGCACTACCATGCAAGTCACAAAATTCGCCCAATTCGACCATATACAGGAAAACACCTTTAGTTATTCATGGCTTCCAAGCTAGGGTAGGTTCACAAGAGAGAGAACAAGAAGGAAGAATGAAAGTAACGAGAAGAGAGGAGAAATAAGAAGCCATACCTGAAACTCGTGGATTCAAAAATTGAAATGAGAAAGAGTGTGAGTATTGGATTGTTTTGATCCTTTTCCTTTTTCGTCCTTAGCATATGCTATGTGTTCTCTTCTTCTCTCCCTTTTTTTCTTTTCTTTGTTTTTCTTGTTTTTGTTCAAACGTGAGTGTGTGCAGAGAGAGGGTTAGGGTTTATACCTAGCAGCTATGCGGCGCTTATGTTCATTGCATAACATAATATGCGATCGCATAAGTGTTATGCGGTGGACTTATGACTGGGCAGCCTAGATACACTTTGCAATGCAAAATGCGATCGCAAAGTAGGTATGCGGGATGCATAAATGAAAAAACTACCGCATAGTCGACAACTACATTAGCCAAGATTTCTGCCTGAGTCAGCGATGACTATGAGGTTCGCATAGTCATTATGCAACTGCATATGCGACCACATAGTTGTCGATCACTTTGTGTCTCTCTTTACTTCAGTTTCTTCAGCACTAGGACCCTATTCATGATATTTTGGGACTACCTGCACTCTAGCACACACGTCAACTTGCTCAATCTAATCTACGTAAATAATAAAATAAATTTTAAAAAACTACAAAAGAGTGTTATCGCACTTGGGTTGCCTCCCAAGAGGCGCTTGATTTAACGTCACGACACGACGCAGTTGACTCCTTTTGGATTATTCCTTGGTGGGAGCTATTGTTGGACTATCCTTTAGAGCAAATTGTTCTATCAAATGCCTTTCTCCTGTGGTACCGAGGTAATGCTTGGCTCGTTGTCCATTCATTTTGAAAGTTCGAGTCCTATCCTTCGACTCCAGTTCAATAGCACCATAGGGGGACACACTCACAACTTTGAACGAGCCAGACCATTTGGACTCAAGTTTACCCGAAAATAACTTGAGTCTTGAATTGAAGAGTAAGACCAAGTCACCAGAATTGAACTCCCGCTTCAAGATCTTCTTATCATGGAAAAACTTCATCCCCTCTTTGTACATGGCTGCACTCTCATAGGCATGGAGACGGAATTCTTCCATCTCATTGAGTTGTGTCATCCTCAGGTTAGCAGCCTCAGTCCAGTCAAGATTCAGCTTCTTCAATGCCCATATGGCTTTGTGTTCAAGTTCCACTGGCAAGTGACAAGCTTTGCCAAAAACCAACCTGTACGGTGAAGTGCCAGTGAGGGTCTTAAATGCTGTGCGATATGTCCACAACGCATCATCTGGCTTCCTTGATCAGTCGGTCCTGTTTGCATTGACAGTTTTCGCTAGGATGTTTTTGATTTCTCTCTTCGAAACTTCAACCTGACCACTCAACTAAGGATGATAGGGTATGTCCACCTTGTGCTTTACACCATATTTTTTCAAGTAGTCCGGCGAAAACCTTGTTGCAGAAATGAGACCCACCATCACTTTGGATGGCCCTTGGAGTACCAAACTGTGTGGATATGTTCTTCTTCAAAAATACGGTCACACTCCTTGATTCATTATTAGGTAAGGAGATTGCCTCGACCCATCTAGAGACATAGTCCACAACCACCAAGATATAGGTCATGCTATACGAGCTCACGAAGGGGCCCATAAAGTCTATCCCCCACACATCAAAGTTCTCAACTGCTAACACAAAATTCATAGGCATCTTATGTCTTTTAGATATTTACCCTTGTTTTTGACATTGGTCACATGCCTTGACCATTTGATTTGCGTTTTGGTAGATCGTTGGCCAATAGTAGCCACATTCAAGCACTTTTGCCGCCGTCTAATTTCCTCTATGATGACCCCCAACCGACGAATCATGGCATGCCTTGAAAATTGGTATTACCGCATCTTCCGGAACATACCGCCGGATGATATTGTCGGCACAAATATGAAACAAAAAAGGCTCCTCCCAATAGTAATGCCTACACTCCCTCAAGAACTTTTTCTTTTGATAAGCTTCTAATCCATCGAGAACAAGGTCACTAACCAAAAAGTTAGCGATGTAGGCATACCAAAGAGCAAATGTGTTAGACAATGCCAATATGTGTTCATCTGGAAAAGCATCATTGATTTCAAGGTCTTCTTTTGGTCTCCCTGCCTCTTCAAGCCTAGATAGGTGATCCGCAACTTGATTTTCCGTCCCTTTCCGATCCTTGACTTCAAAGTCAAACTCTTGGAACAAAAGGACCCACCAAATCAATCTTGGTTTGGCATCCTTCTTCTCTATAAGATATTGAAGAACAACATGGTCGGTGTATACTATCACTTTGGACCCCAACAAATAAGCCCGAAATTTTTCAAAAGAATAGATAATGGTAAGATGTTCTTGCTCAGTCACAGTATAATTCACTTGAGCACCATTGGGTGTACTGATTGCATAATAGACAGGGTGAAGAATCTTTTTACGATGTTGGCCAAGCACCGCCCCAATAGCTACACCACTAGCATCACACATGAGTTCGAATGTAAGAGACCAATCGAGTGTGACAATAATAGGTGCTGTGGTGAACTTTTCTTTCAATTCCTCAAAGGCTTTGAGGCACTTCTCATCAAATACAAACTTTGCATCTTTCTCAAGGAGTTTGCACATGGGATTTGCAATTTTCGAGAGGTCCTTGATGAAACGCCTATAGAAGCCGGCATGCCCCAAAAAACTTCGGACACCTTTAACTGAAGTAGGTGGGGGAAGCTTGGAAATGATCTCGATCTTTGCCCGATCAACCTCTATGCCTTGTTTGGAAATTTTGTGGCCCAAAACAATGCCCTCGTCCACTATGAAGTGGCATTTCTCCCAATTTAGCACAAGGTTTGTTTCTTCACATCTTTTGAGCACTTGTCTAAGGTTTTCAAGACAATGCTCAAAGGAATCACCCACGATAGAGAAATCATCCATGAATACCTCTAAGAAATCTTCCACCATGTCTGAGAAGATTGACATCATGCACATTTGGAAAGTAGCCGGAGCGTTGCATAGCCCAAATGGCATCCGGCTAAATGCAAACGTCCCATATGGACAAGTGAATGTCGTCTTTTCCTGATCTTCCAATGCAATATTGATTTGGTTGTAGCCGAAATATCCATCCAAGAAGCAGTAGAATGACCTTCCCGCTAGTCGATCAAGCATTTGATCAATAAAAGGCATAGGGAAATGGTCCTTGCACGTAGCACTGTTTATCTTCCAGTAATCCATACAAACCCTCCATTCGGTCACTGTTCTTGTTGGGATGAGCTCATTTCTATCGTTTTCAATAACGGTCATGCCTCCCTTTTTTGGCACACATTGCACGAGACTCACCCAGGAACTATCAGTAATGGGGTAGACTACCCTGGCATTTAACCACTTGATGATTTCTTTCTTTACCACCTCCTGCATGGAAGGGTTTAACCTTCATTGATGCTCCACACTTGGTTTACTCTCATTGTCCAATTGTATCTTGTGTTCGCAAATTCCGGCGGGAATCCCTCGGATGTCCGCTATTGTCCACCCAATAGCTTGCCTATGCTCCCTCAAGACATTCAACAGTTGTTCTACCTACACATCATTCAACAAAGAAGAAACGATTACTGGTAGAGTGTCATTGGAGCCAATAAATTTATACCTTAAGTGTGGTAGAAGTGGTTTGAGCTCTAGTTGCGGCGGCTCAATAATTGAAGGCTTTGCGGGGGAGTGACTCTATTCTGTAAGTCGAGAGAATTACTTTGGAGAATAAGTGTAGGACCTAAGCCTTTCCAATGCATTTACTGATTCCATGTACCCCTACATATATTCACTATCGAAATTTACCAAAATAACTGTCAACGCCTCACCAAGGCATTGTCTTCCATCTCATTTCAACTGCATCTTCCACCTCATCAACAACATCAATCACCGAGATGCTTTCATATTCATGTGGCAGCTTCATACCCTTGCTTGCTTGGAATATCATTCACACGGAACTTGATCTCATTCCGTTCCAAATCCATAAGTGCTCTTCATGTAGCAAGAAATGGTCTCCCCAAGATGATAGGGATCTCTTTGTCAACTGCGCAATCAAGGATTACAAAATCGACGGGCAAATGGAACTCTCCCACTTTCACAAGCACATCATCAACAATTCCCACCAGTCTCTTTATGGAACGATCGGCCATTTTCAACCTCATACTTGTATGCCTCGGCATACCTAACCCCGCTTGCTTGTAAATAGCAAGAGGCATTAAGTTGATGCTAGACCCATATCACAAAGAGCTCTTGTAAAATTACGCGTCCCAATAGTGCATAGAATGGTGAAAGCTCCCGGGTCTTCTTTCTTTTGAACAATGGTTGTTACAATGATGGAACTAACCCAGTGAGTCACATTTTCCACTTAATTCTTGGTGGTTTTCTTCTTAGTGATTAAGTCTTTCAAATACTTAGCAAAACCCGACATCTCTTGAAATGCTTCCACGAATGGAATATTTACCGATAACTGTTGGAGAATGTCATAGAACTTTTCGAGTTTGCTATCATCAACCTTCCTCGCAAGTCTTTGAGGGAAAGGAGGAGGGGGTCTAGGAATAGGTGGTAGAGTTTTTGGTGTCTTTTTTACCTTTTCCTTGACCTCTTACCGGTTCGCTTATTGAACTTTTAACTCTTTCGGGACCTTTTTAGCTTCAACAACAATTGTATCTTCAACTTGTGCCTCAACCTCTTGTTCGGACTCTTCCACTTCAACCACTTGGTCACTCTCTCCTTGTAGTACCTTCCCGACCACTCCCACTACCCTTTGGGTTCGCAATTGTGTCACTTGGAAGTGTCCCCTTTTTCTTTGGATTTTGTTCTAGAGAGAGATCTCTCATTTGTATCTCCAATTTTTGAATGGATGCGGTATGAGAACCGACAAGTTCGGTCATATTCCTCATTGAAGTGTCAGACCTTTCTTGATTTTGCAATACCCGTTCAAGCATGTTTTCCAACTTGGAATCACTTGAGGACCCTTGATTTGAATATTGCCCCTTTGGTGGAACATAAGGGTTTGAACTCCGATTTGAGAAGTTGTTGTTGCTATTATTCCAATTTCCTTGATTTGAGCTACCTTGGTCATTTCGCCCCTGTTGGTTGCCTTGCCCTTGCGGGTTAGGCCTCCATTGATTTTGTTGTCCTTGACCTTGGTATTGTTGCATTTGATAGCCTCCTTGAGAGTTGTTGATATATTTTTCTTCCTCATAATCTTCATCTGATGTGGGTTGAACATCTTCCACCAAGTTTACCTTCTTCGTTTGGCTTTCAGTGAACATCTTCGTCAACACATTGACATTGGTGGCAAGCCCTGCAATTACTTGATCTCTTTCTTGGTTCTCCTTAATCATGTTGGTTAAGGAGGGAGTACCATATGCCATTCCACATGTGGTGTCCTATGAGTGCCAAACTTGGTTATGTTTTGCCATTTTGTCAAAGATTTGTGTGATCCTTGCAAATATCTTATCCATAAAAGATCCATCAGCTACAGTCTTGGCTATAGATTGGTTCAGAGCATCTAAACCCATGTAGAATTTCTCCAACAAGATAGACTCAGGAAAACTATGATTGGGCGACCTTATCAAATATAACTTGAATCTCTCCTACGCCTCATGTAGATGTTCTCCCGGTAGTTGCTTGAAAAAGAAAATTTTATCCTGGAGCTCAGATTTCTTGCTTTGCGGGAACCATTTAGCTAAGAATGCTCGGGCAAGTTCAGGCCAAAAATGAATGGAATTTGGTGGCAAATTTTGAAGTCATTTCCTTGCTTCCCCATCTAGTAAGTACTTGAACACCCTCAACCTTAGGGCATCATCTAAGACTTTGTTCTGCTTGTGCATCGCACACACAACCAAGAAGTTTCTAAGATGTTGTGTCGGATCATAATTAGTGGAATTCCTGAAAACCCCCCGCTTTGAGCATTAGGATTAAATCATGTTCCACCTTGAAAGTGGCAGCGCCAACTATCGGAGGTACAATAGCATTTGTATCCTCAATGTACTCATCTATGTCCACAAAAGGATTTTCTTCTTCGTCTTATTCAACCATTTTTTCCTATCAACACCAAGCAAAACAAGCAAAGTGTGATGGAATAGAAGAAGACGTAAATTAAAGCACACACTAATTAGTATATTCAAAACCGTATTCCCCGGCAACGACACCAAAATTTGATACGCTCAAATTACACTTTAATTAAATAGTGTAAGGCGGTCGGCGTCAAATATAATAACCCAACAAGGTTGAAGTCGAATCCCACAGGGAATATGGTGTGATAGGTTTAATTTAGTAGTGTGGAACTTGACTTAGGTCGTAATTCTATCTCGTTAACGTAACAAGAGAATTATATGATTGTGAATTAAAGAGGTAACTAATTTTGATATGAGAATGTAATTGATTTGATTAAGGAAACCAAGGTTATGTCCCCGTCAATGGAATGTAATGCTATCAGTGTTAATATGATATATTTCTAATGGAAGGGCCTTTGATATGCAAATGGTTTCTAAATGACTACCCAATATTTTCCAATAGTTGGGTAGTATTTTCTCTTTATAATTTTTTCAAATATAAAAGAGTTGCAATTTAAGAACAATCGATATATGCCAAGTAGAACCCACTTATTCCTAAGTGATTCTATTAAACAAGATTTAAAGTCTTGAGTTNACTAGCAACTCATGCTAAAATACAAG